TTTTTTTTTTTTTTTTTTTTTTTGGTTTTTTGAGACAGGGTCTCACTATGTAGTTGAGACTGACCTGGAACTATGTAGCCCAGGCTGGTCTCGAACTCATAGCGATCCTCCTGCCTCACGTCCTGAGTATTGGGATTACAGGTGTGCACCACCATGCCTGGCCCTTACGAGATTTCTTATAGAAACATTTCTCTTAAGAACTTGTGAGGGGCTGAGGATTTAGCTCAGTGGTTCTACTAAATGCCTCATAAGCACAAGGACCCAAGCTCAATTCCCGGTATCAAAAAACAAAAAAAAACACTTGTGATTTCATGAAACAAAAGCAATAAAATGACTTAATAAACATATAACATTTTGCTGCATGCTGCTGGGCTTGCAATCAACCAGTATCTAGAACAAGCACCTTGCTCTCCAGAAAAAGCAACGTTCGGCTTTGTTTTTTTCATTATCATGGATAAAAAAAGATATGAAACAAATTAAAAAGCTCTTAGTGGTTATTTAAAAAGCTCATTAATCTTAAGCAAAAGCTACATCAAATGAAATACTACATTTATTCAGGCACACACACATACCTCACACATTTACAGTAACAGCTTTAAAAATAGATTTACTAGGAATTACACATGGTCCTTCTCTTGAGGTCCCATACTCTATTTTCTTGCCTCTTATTGAGGGGTCTTAAAATTTCTTTTTCTGCAATGGGCATCAGCAAACTTACTCTGTGGGTAGGGTTTTCTGCTTTAGGGACCTCTTTGGACCCTGTCTAATGATAATGTCGGAGCAAAGGAAACAATCAAAAGAAAAGCCCACTTGCCGGAGGCAGAGGATGGTTAACAGATATGGTGGTAAAACTGGACAGAACAAATAACTTTCATGTTCTATAGCACAGTTAGTGAAATATTTTAAAATAGCTAGTAGAGAAAATTTTGGATGTTTCCATCACAAATGATAAATATCTGAAGTGATAGATTTGCCCGTTACTCAGATCTGATCATATTACACACATGTACTAAAATGTCAAAATTATATCTCAAGATGGATCATTACTGCATCAATTAAAATTTTACAATATAGTTTAAAAATAGAGGAGTTAATAAAGAATTCCTCAAATTTTTAAAAAATGAGTTTACTTTTTTGAGATGATAATTGAAGCTAAATATCAGCCTCCCTCAGAACCTAATAGCAATAGCACAATTTCTGGAGTAACCAAACACAGAAGAATAATGTGTCAGTTTGGAAGCTGATGGCCCAAGAAAGATAAAAGAAAATTCTGGTGAGGGCTACTCAGGAACCAAAACCATTTACACTGATAAAATGAGTTTTAAACCTCTATATAATAAAGTTCAAAAGTTATATAGTCAATATAACGATGCTTACCTTAAACATTCATTAAGCACCCTGGGCTCATCTGGCTTCACATTTTGAAAGGAAGTGTCTTTTTTCTCAGGTTGTTTTATGAGGTCTTCACACTCCAAATTTTTACATGATTGAGCTTCCATTTGTTGAAGTATCTTAAAAACAAAATTGTTTTAATGTTTTAGGTTTCACAGTGAAATACATTTTTCTTTTTTTCTTTTTTTTTTTTTTTGGTTTTTGAGACAGTGTCTCACTATGTAGTTGAGACTGACCTGGAACTCACTATGTAGCTCAGGCTGGTCTCGAACTCACAGGGATCCTCCTGCCTCAGACTCCCCAGTGCTGGGATTACAGGCATGCACCACCACGCCCGGCCGAAATACATAATTTTTTAAAATTTCATTGTAAATTTTGACTTGAGTGTAATGAAAATAGTAAAAATTTCAAAATTATAAAAGGATGCTTTTTAAGCATTTATTTTTTGGTTTTGGGTTTGTTTTTTTTAGTTATCTTAGAAAATTGCAGAAGGTACCCTGTCACTACATCTCAAGACCCCATTCTTCACTGCCCAACAGTTAGTAAGCATATCAGTGTCCTCTGTTAGAAGTACCTCATGACACCCTTCTGATTCCTTCTGACTGTTTAAACTGCATTAAAACACAGCACTCATAGCAGAAGAAACCCAAGCTTAAAGCATGCCAACTTTTAACCTTTTCACAAAGACTATATATATATATGTATGTGTGTGTGTGTGTGTGTGTATATTATATATATAAAATCTAAAATTCATGATCTTTGTTCTTGGAATTATATTTTAGTAGGAAGCTTTTTAATATTTTATTCTGTTAAGCCAATGTTAAAATTCACACATTTAACTATTTTTCCAAAATGGAAATGTTACTCAAATATTCAGGAACAGAGAAACAGAGGAACAGAGAAAAGCAAGTCCAAATATAAGGTAAGGTGAAACCAATTTAGCAATCATGTAAGAACGCTAAATATAAAATGCCTTTACAATTAGCAACTGCTGATGGCTAAGAGATTTGTGGCATAAATTTAATAAATAACATACAGTACACAAATTAGGTAGAGGTGCTGTTTTTAAAGGGAGTGAGATATTTATTTGAGGCTTATATTCGTGTTTAACAAAATGTGCGAACAATCAAAATACTCACGTCTTTGTTGACACAGGATTCATTCTGAGTATTCTCTACACTGGCCCCTTCTTTTTGGGGTGTGACTGTTTCTTTTCTTTCTGCAGCTTTCCCTACATTTGGCTTTGGTCTTTGTAAACGGCTCCTCACTAGTTGCACAGGTCTGGGAGCCTTTGGTTGATTATCTTCCAGGAGACAAGTTTTTTCACTTAAACTAGAACAACCACAAAGGAATATATTCATTTATTCTCAATTCATAAATGTGCTTATTTTTTCTGTACTTCCTTTTCCCTGACATGAATAAATGAACCCTTTAGAATATAAAATAGTTCACAAGTGTCCTCAAGAACATCATCAAAGCCAGGCATGGTGGTGCATGCCTTTAGTCCCAGCACTTGGGAGGCTGAGGCAGGAGGAATGTCCCAAGTTCAAGTCTAGCCTGGGCTACATAGTAAGTTCAGGGCCAGCACGAAATATAAAGTGAGAGCCTGCTCAAAAAAAAAGAAAAAAAATCGTCAAAGATATTTATATACCTGCATCCTCATCTTTCAAACAGATATAACACTTGGGGCCAGGGATTTAGCTCAGTGGTGCTGCACCTGCCTCACAAGCACAAGGACATGAGTTTCATCCCCAGTATGAGGGGAAGGAAAAAAAAAAACAGGTATAACCCTGGAAGCCTCACTATAAAATGTATTGTTAAAATTTCATTATAAAATTAGAAAATCTACATCTGCCAGTGATGTCAGATTATTAGCCTTCATTCAGAATAATATTGTAGACTATGCAGCTCCAGGTCTACAGGCCCAAATTACAGCATAAATGGCACCCACTGGAACAGTACAGAACCTCCTGGTCAGCATCAAATTGGTATCTCCATATCAAGTATTCCTTTTTGAAATCTCTTACTATCAATAAAGTTATTAGAAATATATCTTACTTTTGAGACAGGGTCTCACTAACTAGCTAAATTTCCAAGACTGGGCTCAAACTTGCAACTCTCTTGCCTTAGCTACTCTGAGTGCTAGTATTACAGATGTGCACCACTACACTGAGCCCAAAATCATGTATCTTAACCACTTATTTCACAAGTGCTGTTTTGCTTGGAGACAGGGTCTCACTTTGTAGCCCAGGATGGCCTTAAAGTCATGGTGATCTTCCTGACTCAGCCTTCCGAGTGCTGGGATTATAGGTGTGCACCACAATGCCTGGGAAGATTTTGTTAATGGTAAAAATAAACATTACCAAAGTCTTGTTAATGAAATGGAGAGAGAACAGTTGCTAAATCATTGTACCCATATTGTAATTTTTGCATACAATGTCAAGGGACTATTAAAATGTTTTAACATCATTTATAGTTAAAAATAGTCTTAGACTACAGCATCCGAAAAGAAAACTGAGAGTTTGAGTACAAAATAAATAACTGCAATCATCTTAGAAGTTATTATAGTAAATACTTACTTAGACATAGTTTGAGCTTCTTGGTTCTCCTTTCCTGTATTCTCCATTCCACCACTGTCAAATGCATTCATTTTACCCTTTTCCGTGTGATTCTACAAGTTTAATTTTTTGAATTTAATCTCATAAAAAAGTTCAAACTTTTCAATAATCAAATAAGAATTAAAACAATATAACAACTTTTTATACTTCTAATTTTCTAAAAATCCTAATTGCAGATGAGAATATTAAAAAACAGATGACCTCATACATTACTAAACAGCCTTGCCAACATGAAGAATGTCAAAAAGGTTCATAGCCTTTCATCCAGTACCATCATTTTGAAGACTCTTTTAAGAAAGCAATTTGAAAAAGATTAAGGTACTAGAATGTCCACTAGAACATTATGTAATAGCAAACACTGTAGAGACACATTTTCCGATAATAAAGAAATGGCTAAACAAATTCACTTATACCCCACTGGTAGAATATCCATAAAAATCACGTTTTCAAAAGATGTTTAAAGACAGAGAAAAATATTTACAAAACATTAAATACCAAATAATATAAACCTTACCTGATACCAATACTCAGCCTTGTAAAAGAAAGCCTGAACTAGGCAGGGTGCAGTGGCACACACCAGTAATCTCAGCTCCTTGGGAGGCTGAGGATCACAAGTTTTAGCTCAAAATAAGTAATTTAGCAAGAACCTATCCCAAAACAAAAAAATCTGGGGACAAAGTTCGGTGCTCCAGGGTTCAATCCCCTATAATACAAAAAGAAAACCTAAAAAGTACTAGAGATATAGCTAAGTGATACAGAGTTTGCCTAACATTTTCAATGCCCTAGGTTTGATCACTAGCATCACCAAGAAAAAAAAATCCTTTCAGATAAATGTGAAAAGACTAGTTGCATATAGATAATGAAATTATAAGTAATTTTTGTTTTGATTCTTTTTGTTGTTTTTTTTTGAGTGTGTGTGGTACCGGGATTGAACTTGAGTCCTTGTGTTTGCAAGGCAAGTGGTGGAACCACTGAGCTAAATCCCCGGCCCTTTTGCTTTGATTTTTAAATAGATCTGTATCTCCCAACTTTCTAGAATAAAATCTTATAAGATTATAGTAATATATTATAAAAAATATAATGAGAGCCAGGCATAGTGGCACATGTGTATAATCCCAGCTCTTGTAAGACTGAGGCAGAAGATCTCCACAAGTTTAAGGCCAGCCTGAAATACACAGTGACACTCTGTCTCATTATGTACCTGCTTAGCATGCATGAGGCCCCTGGGTTCAAACACTGGCACCCCAAAAAAAAGGAAATATGATAAAAACAAACTTTACATAAAAGAGAAAAATACTGACCACCACTTTTAAAAGTAATTTGACAAAAAAAATTTGTTTTTAATTATAACTATATAAGCAGGCATGGTGATACAAAGCTGTAACTCCAGCACTCAAGAGGCTGAGTCAAGAGTATCAGTGCCGGGGATTTAGCTCAGTGGTTCTGCCGCCTGCCTCGCAAAGGCAAGGTCTTGAGTTTGACCCCAGGTACCAAAAAAAAAACAAAAAAAGAAAAAAAAGATCACTATGGACTTTACACTGGCCTTGAACTTACTATGTAGCCCAGGTTGACCTCAATTTGTGGTGATCCTGCTGCCTCAGCCTCTTGAGTGCTGGTGGCATTACAGGAGGTTGGCATGTTTTTTTTCTACAATGTATAACAAGACAATGTATATGTTTAGTTAAGGGTTGTGCATATAATTTAATGTATAAGTAGTTTAGGAAATACTTTAGGGTTGGGGATTTAGGTCAGTGGTTCTGGTGCCTGCCTCAGAAACAGAAGATCCAAAAAAAAAAGGAGGGAAGGAGGGAAGGAGGGAAGGAGGGGGGGAGATAGAGAGAGAGAGCGAATGAGCGAGCTGGTTCAGAGTTATGAGAGAGAGCCGGTTCAGAGTTATGCCAGGCAAACGCAAGGTCCTGAGTTTGATTCTCAGTACTGGAGGGAAAAAAAGAAATATTTTAAATGAAGTAAATGCAAGGTCCTTAGTTCAATCCTTAGTACTGAGGGAGGGGGGATACTTCAAATAAAGTAAACAAAAGAGATTTATTGGGCTGGGGGTTTAGCTCAGTCGTGCCGCCTCCCAACCATAAGGTTCTGAGTTTGACCCTTAGTAACAAAAAAAAGCAAAACACAAACAAAAAAAAAAGAGATTTATCACTGAGGATTTTCAAACAACATGCCTGAGTTCTTAAAAAATGCATAAATAGGAGATTACTAAGATGGGAACAAATCTAAGGTTATTGTATAAGTTCTTACATCTGTTTTAATATCTGTGACAGTAGTTTGTAATTAAAAGCTAAATATTTTTTTGCCAACTATTTAAAAGATTTTTACAATTTTAATTTCCACAATGTCTCTTCCACCATACCTTTTCAGTGGAGGTTTCTGAATGCAAATTCTTGTTCTCTGCATCTATCTTGTCTTGTGAAAAAACCAGTTTCTTCCCAACAGCCCTTGACAGATTGGGTTTAGGTCTCTGGAGTCGACCTCTCAACACTGGTTTAACATTTTCTGCTTGACTACCTTCCCTGAAAGATATTATTTAAATTGTAACCAGCATGCAATCATATTCAAATTAAATTCTAAAATAACCTACTCAGAGTCAGAAAGAACTTTAAAAGCTTCTTTAAACCTTCAGGGTTTATTCATATTTAAAATGTATCTTGTTGTTGTTGTTTCAGGCATTATGTATAAGTCAGTAATTATTTTATGGACCAAGTTCCCTGGTAACTGTTGCAGTGACAGTGCAACAGCTGACCCCTCTGCCCCCAGCAGGAAGTGGCTGGCCCGACAGTCACAGCCCCAGCCAGGGACCCCTGTGGCCAGTGCCACCTCCTCAACTGTCCCCACCTCGTCCCATCTTTCCTCCATCTTGGTGACCAGCCATCTGGAGAAGCATCTGGAAGCCTCAGCCAGCCTACAAAAAGGCTGGGGGGTCCATGGCCGTGGGAGGCCCAGCAGGCAGTGGGCCAGCCTCTCCCTGGGGCAGTCCCCATGGCTCTTCACTCCCTACCTACCCAGCCACTAGCCATGACAAGGACAACAGTAATAGTCCCCTGAGCCTTCCCCAGGGCCCTCAGCCACAGATGGTGAGACGGCAGCCTCCCCTCTAAGTCTCTTCTCTGTCCAGGTCCGCTTTCTGCCTCCCATGATTCCTTTTGGCACAGTCTCCTCCTGAGGGAGCGCAAGTTTTCAGAAACTAAGAGGGAGGGCAAAGTCCTTTAAAAATACCAAAAACGTTTACAGCATTGGGTGCTGAGCTGCAGGGCTCAGGCCTGACCAGTTGTAACCAAAGGGTGAGGCAAGCCTTGCCAACTGCCACCCCTTCGCAGCCTGTTAGGATAGAAGCCTTAGTCCCTCCCGCCCATGCGCACACCCAGCTCTGACCACCTGCCTTCTCTTTGATTTCTAAAGAGAGATTCAACCAAGATCCTGCCCCTCCTCCGGCTGGGTCTTCACTGCCCACCATATCCTAGTCTTCACATCTCGGCCCTTCCCATGTCCTTGTGCTGTCTCTCTGGGCCATGTGTGAGCAGTGTCCTGACCTACCGGGCTGTCCCTGTACCATTGGCCTAAATGTGCTCTGTATTTAGCGTCACTGTCTGTTACACCAATTAAAGAAGCAGGAAGGCTTCAAAAAATAAATAAATGAATAAATAAATAAATAAAAATAAAAGCTTTCTTATCTATAAATGAACCAAAGAAAACTGAAGAGACTAACTTGTTTTGCCAGATGCTAAAAATATACTATTCAGCATCAGTAATTAAAAAGCTTTAATGATACTTAAATATAAATAAACAGATACAAGAAAAAACAAAATATTCAGCCAGGCATAGTGGCACATGCCTGTAATCCCAGCACTCGGGAGGCTGAGGCAGGAGGATCGCTGTGAGTTCAAGAAAAGACCAGCCTGGGCTACACAGTAAGTTCCAGGTCAGACTCAACTACATAGTGAGACCCTGTCTCAAAAAAAAAAAAAAAAAAAAAAAACAAAAAAAAAAAAGAAAGAAAGAAAAGAAAAAACAAAATAGAAAATCTGAAAATGACTCCAAAATTCATGTGAATTTAGTATATAATGGTAGTAAAACAGTGAGAAGATAAAGTATAAAATATGGTTTTTTTAATTAGATAAAATTAAATGGCAATGAGAAAACTACAGATAACACTCAGGAAAACTACAACTGGCTCCATCCTTTACAATGTGCTAAGAGCAAATATTTCAATGAAATTTTGGACCTCGGTGAGTTATTTTATAATCTTGAGCAAAGTTTTCTAAAATATAATAGAAAGAGGGCTGGGGATTTAGCTCAGTGGTGCCACTGCCTGCCTCGAAAGTGCAAGGTCCTGAGTTTATTTCTCTGGTACCAAAATAAATTAAATTAAATAAGATAGAAAAAGCTGGACCTGTAATCCCAGCACAAGAGGATAACTGAGTTTGAGGCCAGCCTGAACTATATAGCAAGACATGTCTCAGTCTCCCCTCCAAAAAAAAAATAAATAAATAATAATAATTACATATTGGATGGGTCTATATATTAATGGTACCTTCTACTTCCTAAATAGAGAAACACTGTCATTTAAGAAAACTTTCAAGGGCTGGGGAGTAGCTCAGTGGTATAGTGCTTGACTAGCATGCAGGAAGTTCTGGGTTCCCCAGCACCACCAAAAAAAATAAATTTGCAACAACCTTAACAAAACTGTGGAAATAAATAAATCCTGCCATGTAAAATACCTACAGTGATTTACTCTTCTGGTCAACATCTCTTTCTCTTGCACAACTCTGCAAGGCAGGATTCACCTCACAGAGTGCTATGATCTCAACTTCTGATGGAGACAAAGCTGAAGGGCTGGATTCTGAAGATTCATTTGCTGCTGGTGTGTTACCATGTTGCTGACTAAGGAAACAGAAATGGGGGTTAATACAAATCTTCACACTCTTTACAAGATCTGTTTTAACACATAAAACAAGATTTTGGAAAATGATCAAAGCTGTTACACAGGCTTTTGTATGATCTTTCCTACATCATATCACATACAAAGTAGCAGCCATAATCTATCAGTGCTCAACAAATCTCAAAATGAAAAATGGAAGACTTTAAGAAGACTCACACAACTATTGGTTTAATGGGGTTTGTGAAGCAAATGAATGTGTAAAGTCACAGTAATATTTTCGAATCAGCTTTCATTAAAATTGCATCTAGACAGTCCTTGCTATACATAGTACTACGGTATTATAAAATAAGAAACATTAATTAACAACAATATAACTGATGGCCATGTATTAAATGGCACTGTTTCAACACATATTCACATTTAGTCATACTTTTTTTTCCCTATTTTTTGTACCCAGTGTTTGTCTTTTTCTGATATATCAGGTAACACTTCTCTATATATTCTTATGGGCTAGGTGTTAAATATAAAACTCAGCAATCTGCCTTTTACTTTTCTTAATGGAGCTTCTGTTTAATTTTTCTACATGATTCACATGACAAAGACATCTTTCCAACATCCTTCTAAAGGCTTTTAAGATCTGATTTATATTTTGTCTTCAATCCATCAGAAAGTTAATAAATAGGGTAAAACAGTGACCTAATTTTACCTTTTTCGTACCTTAGCACCAACTAGTGAATAGTTAGTTTAATCTTTGTCCACTGAATTCTAAAGCCACCTCTGAGCTGGGCATGGTGGCCACACATCTGTAATTCCAACACTCTGTGAGGTTGAGGCAGGAGGATCAAGTTCAAACCCAACATGAACAACTCAGACAAGTTTAGTGAGACTCAGCCTCAAACAAAGCGTGCAAGGGATGGGGGATGGGGTGGCACACACTATAATCCCAGCACTCAAGAGGCTGAGGCAGGAGGATTACTGTGAGTTAAAGCCTAGCCTGGGCTATATAGTGAGTTCAAGGCCAGCTTAAACTATAGTGAGACCCTGTCTCAAAAACAGGGGAGGTGAGATGAGGATATAGCTCAGTGCACAGTGCAAAGACCCTGGATTCAATTTCTGGTATCCAAAAAGAGAAAACAAAGCACTACATGTCTCCTCATGACCAGACATTCAGTTCCAAGGAATCAATTTTATCACAATGCTTTAATCACTCTAGCTTTAAGATGTCTTAATATATTTCTTCTTCATAAATGTCTTTACCATTCATGACCCTTAAATTTTTTTTTGTCTTGTAACAGGGACTGAACTCAGGACCTTGCTCTTGGCAAGGCAGGCACAGCACCACTGAGCTAAATCCCCAACTCTATTTTTTCAGGGTTTTTTGTTTTGTTTTGTTCCAGGGATTGAACTCTGGAATTCACACTTGCCAGGGAGGTACTGTGCTGCTGAGCTAAAACCCCAGCCCCTAACTCTTGTATAATGAGTCTTTTTTTCTTGGCAGTATTGGGCACTGAACCCAGTCTTTGTAACGAGCTACATTGCAGCCTTTTTTACTATTATTATTATTATTATTATTATTAATTTTATGTACTTTTAAGTGTGGGGAATGGGGAAACGGAGTGTTACTAGAACCTCTGCATCAGGTTCTAGTCTCCTGTGAGCCACAATAGCACAAGGCAAATTAATTAATATACAGACAGAAAATGAGACTTAGAGAAGCTGAGCTTTGACCTGATCCATGATGCTCTGGGCAGCAAAAACCCCAGATCTGGATTAATTTTTTTTGTTTTTTTTGTTTTTGTTTTTTATGAAACAGGGTCTCACTATGCAGTTGAGACTGATCTGGAACTCACTATGTAGCACAGGCTGGTCTCGAACTCACAGCGATCCTACTGCCTCAGTGTCCTGAGTGCTGGAATTACAGGCGTGCCATCACCACGCCCGACCTGGATTAATTATATTTTTATTTTGAGACAAGGCATTGCTAAGTCATTAGGGTACCCATGCTGAGCTTGAACTTGAGATCCCTGTTTCAGCCTCCCAGAATGCTAGAATTACGGGCATGTGCTACCACATCTGGCTTAATGATAATTTTTTAATCAACTCACTGTCTACCATAACCAATTGGGATTTTAATAATTGTAAGACTGTTTTACCTCTAAGTTAAAAAAGGTAATGAGAATGTGGACAGTTTAGTAAATCAGCCTTATTAAATTAGTACATTTGTAGTATATGAATTTTACATTCATCTTGGAGAGTAGGCACATGTGCATAATAATGCTTGTTTCTTTTTACTCCTTTTCCCATCTAGCTCCCTCCCTCCGCATCTAAATTCCCTTTCCCCATTTTCATTGTTATTCTTAGTTCACATTTATAACACATAATGCTTACATTCACTGAAGTTATTAGGTTCCTCTACATGGCATACCTTAATTTTACTTACTTTCCCTTCCCCTTAGTCTCCTGCATCCTTTCCCCTTGTCTCCTCTAATCCATCCTTTATTATGATCTTTATCTATAGTTTGCCTTACTCAAATGAGAGATATATATTTAAGTTTGTGTGTCTGATTTGACTCAACATTTATTTTTCCCGTTGCATTTATTTTCCTACAAATGTCTTGAATTTATCCTTCTTTATACTGAGTAGTACTCCATTATGTATAGCTACCATATTCTCTTTATCCATTCATCTGCTGATAGGTGTATTGGCTGCATCGAGGATTTAGCTATTATGAATTGTGGTGGTATACATGCATACCTGTGTATGATATCTGCAGCTCTTTGGAGAAGATACAAAAAGGAGGAATAGCTAGGTCATAGAGAATTTCTGAATTTAGTTCTTTGAGAAATCTCTGTATGGATTTCCATAATGTTTGCATTAGTTCACATTCCCACTGATAATGTAGTTGGGTTCTTTAGTTTTATCACTGAGTTACACTTCAGATAACTTGTAACTAGCAACAAAGAAACAGTATGTAATTCTAATTAAATACTAGAAAAGGGAAATAAAAGTCAGACTTAATGGTATATTCCTGTAATCCCAGTACTCTAGGAGGCTAAGGCAGGATAATTACAAATTCAAGCCCAACTTGGGCAACTTAGCAAGACCCTATCTCAAATTTTAAACAGTAAAAAAAAAAACAGTTGAGGATATAGCTTAGTGCATAGGTTCTGAGATCAATCCTCAATATCAAAAAGAAAGAAGAGGGCCAGGGATTAAGCTCAGTGGTTCTGCCTGCCTCGCAAATGCAAGGTCCCGAGTTCAATCCATGGTACCAAAAAAAAAAAACAAAAAAGAAGAAGAAGAAGAAAGGGGGATTCACATTGACAGAAAATGTATTAGATAAAAAGAAAGGAGAAGAAAAAAAAGAAGAGAAAGGGGGGAAGTTAAAAATAGTGTTATTGTTGCACAAAAATATAAATGTAATTAATACCACAGAACTGTAGCTTAGATTGGGTTAATACAGCAAATTTTATGGGCAACAATTTTCCAAACGTAATGAAACAAACTCACACCACAGATCCAGGAAGTACAAAGAACCCCAAGCAGGATAAATTTTAATTTTAATTTTTAAAAGCCTCAGAAACAAAGCTAGAAACCTCACAGTTCTTTACCACAAAATACATTACAAAGCTATAGTAATCAAAGAGCACAGCGGAGGCATAAAGACAGACATGCTAATCTATGAAACAGAACAGTGAGTCCAGAAATAACCCCACACAATCACAGGTTAATGTTTAATAAAGGAGCCACAACTACACAAAGGGAAAAGAACAGTCTCGCCAACAAATGTTGCTGTGAAAAGTGGATACCCACATGTAAAAGAATGAACCTAGCAGGTATGGTGGCACACACCTGTATCCCAGCACTTGGGGAGGGTGAGACAGTAGGACTGGCATGAGTTCAAGGCCAGCCTGGGCTATACAGTGAGTTCAACGTCAGCCTGGTTACACAGTGAGACCCTATCTCAAAAAGACAAAAATGAGCATGGACCTTTTTACCTTACACCATACAAAAACTCAATTTTGATTAAAAGGAATTAAAAAGATTTAAATGTTTAGACTAGAAAATATAATCTCTAAAAGAAAACATGAGGCAAAGCTTTGTAACACGGCTTTTGCAATGATTTCTTGGATATAACACTAAAAGCACAGGCAACAAAGGCAAAATTAAACAAGTTGAAATACATCAAACTAAAATGCTTCCACAGAGCAAAGGAAACAACAGATAGAAAAGGCAACCTAGGAAAGGCAGAAAACATTTGCAGGCCATATTCCTGATAAGGGGCTAACAGCCAAAATATTTATTCCTACAACTCAACAGTCAAAGAAGAAATAACCCAGTTTTAAAATGGACAAACTGGGGGGCTCAGTGGTTCTGCCTCCTGCCTCGCAAGCACAAGGTCCCAAGTTCGATCCCCGGTACCCCCGCCAAAAAAAAAAAAAAACAGACAAAGAGCCAGACATGGTGGCACACACCTGTCAACTCAGCACTTGGGAGGCTGAGGCAAGAGGATTGCCACTATGTTCCCTGGGCTACATAGTGAGTTCAAAGACAGCCTGGACTGCATAGGAAGCACCTATCTTAAAAAAAAAAAACAAAAAAAAGCCCAAAAAATTAAATAAAAACAGACAAGGGATTTAATAGGCATTTGTACAAAGAAAATATGCAACAGCTAATTGGGATATGAAAAGATGCTCCACATCACCAATCATCAGGAAAAAGCAAATCAAAACAACAGTAACACATCACATCCTACCTGTCAGGATACCCATTATTAAAAGACCTAAAGAAGTATTAGCAAGAATGTAAAGAATTAGATTATTTATAAACTGCTGATGGGAACATAAAGTGTACCAGTTACTGGAAAGAAGAGTATGAAGGTTCTTCAACAAATTAAAAATAGAATTAACATATGACCCAGCAATCCCACAATTGGGTGTTTACCCACAAAATTTGAAATTGGGATCTCAAAAAGATATTTGCACCCCAATATTCACCACAACATAACACAATAGCCAAGAGACGAAAACAACTTAAACACCACCCCACTAAGTGATGGATAAAGAAAATGAGGTACTATAAATACACACAACAGAATAATATTCAGCCAAAAAAAGGAAACTCAGCTGGTAATTTAGCTCAGTAGTAGAGCACTCTGACTCCCCTAGTATGTACCAGGTCCTGGGTTTGATCCACAGTACCACAAAAAAATAAAATACGATAAAGATTAAAAAGAAGTTGTCATGGGCCGGGAATTTAGCTCAGTGGTTCCGCCACTTGCCTTGCAAGCACAAAAACCCACGTTCCATCCCTGGTACCAAAAAAAAGAAGAAGAAGCTGTCATATGCTATAAATGATGAATCACCAGGGCACTAAGTAAAATACAAACATTGCATGGTTCCACTTACATAAGATATCTAACATAATCACATTTGCAGAAACAAAAATTAGAATGGTTATATGTAAATTCCACTGAGGCTACTAGGACAAGGAGGAAATAGGGAATCCAAATCCAACGGGTATACAGTTTCTATCACACAAGAGGAAAAAAAATCCCAGAGACTTGGTACATAGTACTGTTCAGTTAGAGTTAATATACCATTTGCATTAATTTTCCTTAAGAGGGTAAATCTCTTATGTTTACCACAATAAAAAATAAGTAACTGTGCTAGGACTATATATCAGAGGTGAAGCACTCATCTAGCATTCAGGAGACTCTGGGTTTCACCCCAATACCACAAAAGAAAAATAGAGGAGCTGGGCATGGTGGCTCACGCCTGTAATCCCAGCACTCAGGAGGCTGAGGCAGGAGGATCCCTGTGAGTTCAAGATCAGCCTAGTGAGTTCCAGGTCAGTCTCAACTACTAACCAAAACAAAGCAGTAACCCAAAGTAAACATCCAAAAAAGAGCAATACCAGAGGACAGTAAACAGTGATAAAGGATATTTCACCAAGAAGACACAATAATCTGCCATATGTGCATACCTAGTAAGAGGTTCAAAGCATATGAAGCAAAAACACATGGAACTAAAATAAGAAAAGCAGGGCCAGGGATTTAGCTCAGTGGTGCTGCTGCCTGCCTCATAAGCAACAAGGTCCTGAGTTTGATCCCCAGTACCACAAACAAGCAGATTTACTTGGAGACTTCACTACTCTTGGTGACCAACACAAGAAGAAGTATTATAGATAAAAACCAATAAATATAAAAAATACCTTGGTGAAAGGATGGGGTCCTTTCTCTTCTCAACTCTTTCACTGGAGGCTAAATCCACAGTGTCATCTAGGTTCTGAGTGCAAGAAGGCATCTGTTCCTCACTGCATTCACTTTCATTCACCTCAGGCCTTAAAGACTGACATTTATCTAGAAATATAAAATGCATGTGATCCTAAAAATGACAGTAGAAACATCTAATTTTTGAAAGCACAAAGGAACTTAAATACAACATTGTCTTTTCCTACAAAATATCAATATATACAACATTTCAACTTTGTTTGTTCTGTCTAACAGGGTCTCACTACATAGCCTAGGCTGGCCCTGAAATCACAGTGATCCCCCTGCCTTAAATTCCCAACTGCTGAGATTTCAGCCATGTGCCACCAGCCTGTCTCAATTTTTATCTGTAAGGCATACATCTTATTTTTGGAGAGTAATGAAAACTTTATCAATTTATAATTGTTTCTTTTGAAGATCTGCACGTGTTCCTCAGAAATTTGTAGCAATTTCCAACTAACACTTCATATGTCCAGTCAGGAAACTTGGCTATTTTTCTGCTCCTTCAAAAGTATAATAATAGCCGGGCATGGTGGCGCACGCCTGTAATCCCAGCACTCGGGAGGCTGAGGCGGGAGAATGAGGCAGGAGGATCACTGTGAGTTCGAGACCAGCCTGGACTATGTAGTGAGTTCCAAAAGTCAGTCTCAACTATATAGTGAGACCCTGTCTCAAAAAAAAAACTAAAAGAATAATAATTAATAATATGGTAACAGTTGTTATTTACTGAATACTAAATGGCAAGAACTTTTAAATCTTAGAAAATATCTTGCTGAATAGATGCATTATCTCACGTACTACTCAATCACACTCAAAGGTATTAATATTAACCACATCATGGAGAAAAGTAATGAGTTCACAGACCTAAGTGACTTGCCCAATGTCCTATTCAGACAAAAAGACAATGTATCACTAAACCCTGATTTCTGAATCAAACTATTCTGCCTTATGTGTATAGTGTCTCCTATACAAGCAAGCCACATAAGAGCATAAAATTTTGAGTTTATAAATCATACTACTTTAGCTGGGCATGGTGGTAGAAGTTGTACACCCAGCACTCTGGGAGGTTGAGGGAGGAAATTCAGATTCAAGCAGTAACTCAAGGAGGAAGGGGGTGTGCACAGGGGATGTAGCTCAGCGAGAAGGCCCTAGGTACACTCCTCAGTACTCCACAAATAAATAAACAAACCATACTACTTTAACTACCAGCACACATGTATTAAAATCAGATTGGTGAAGGTGAAGTACATGAAAACGAAGTTCTATGGGAAGGTTTTTCTACTCTGCTACTACCAGTTCTATTTTTACTTGATTATCTGTTTTTTCTTTCTTTCTTTTCTCTTTTGGTACTAGGGACTAAATCCAAGGGCCTTGTCCATACTGAGAAAGCACTCTAACCTTGAACTATACCCCAGATTGATCAGCTACTTTTATATACATGAACTTTAAAGAAAAAGGACTAAAGACCCAGACCCTGCTAAAAGTTAGCCTTCATCTCCTAGCAACTCATAAGAATAAATACATGTATTTGCATTCTAAGGATAAAAAAGAAGCCAAGTGTGTTGGTGCATGCCTGTAATCCCAGCTCTCTGGGAAGCTGAGGCAGGAGGATTCAAGTTCAAGCTCAGCCTTGGCAACTTAGTGACTTAGAAAGATCCTGTGTCAAAGTAGAAAATAGAAAAAGTCTGGGGATATAGCTCAGTACATATAAAGAGTCAGGTTTCAATCCTCAGTACCACAAAGAAAAAACATGGTAAAAGGAAGAATGAAAAAAACTACTTCACTAGTCGTTTACAGAAAGATATTAAGCAACACACTGTGACTTTATAAAGGCAGACCATGAAAACCTCTGATTTACTAAAATGTGCAACATACATTTAACTATATTTATGTGCTCACCAATTTCTGTTAATGGGAGGGATGTAGAACATACTTAGAAACATACTACAGAGAAAAATATCCTTGCTTTTTTTTTTGGAGGGGTGTCTTACTGGGGATTGAACCCAGGGCCTTTTCACTGAACTAAATCCCTAGAACTTTTTTTAAATTTTGAGTCAAGGTCTCATTAAGTTATTAAATTGCCCAGTTTGGGCTGAAAACTTGCAATCTTCCTGCCTCAGTCTTCCAGAGGGCTGGGATTACAGGCATGCACCACTATGTTTGGCTTTAATGTTTTTCCCATAAACTTTTTTTCTTTAATTCACAATAAAAAGATTTAATATATTACTATGGGCACAGAACCAATTAATAAGTATTAATTGCTGGTACTGATACAGAGAACTTCTGTAAACTAAAAACCTACAAAATGTTAGGAAAATGTAAAATGACTTCTACTGTCTCTAACAGCAATCTGCTTTGTTTAGTTCAAAATTAATAGACACCGGAGGAATTGACCATGAAATGGGACATCTGGCCTCATTCCTGACCTTGAACACTCGCTTCTTGTGCACTAGAATAGATGGCTAGACGAATCTTAAGGTAAACTCCCTAACTAAAAGGAATTGTTACATCTGGGTTAAAGTGGTCTGCCTTATTACTGTAATTTGTACATGGGTAATGTGAATTGAGGAAATGAAATGTAACCACCTGAATGAGATCATAGCTGTAAAACCTGTAAAAGAGGAAGCGGCAACCCAGTGAAAGGTCAATTTCTAGCACTGATCTTAATGCAATCAACCTTTTGTCAACAAAATAAACTTTTTATTATTTTACTTCCATTCTGCTTCTCTGCAAGTGTCATTTACCAATTCCTTCCGTAACAGTACCTACAAGGAAGGCATTCCCCAGACACAATATTGTCATTTGTGTCTTAGTAATGTGAAGGATATTAAAATGTGTAAGAAACTTACTCTTATGCTTTTCTCCTTCAGAAGAACCTGATGGAATAGTATCATTTCCTGAAAGATTTTGTACTTTCTGTTCAGTTGTTCCATCTTGGTTCCTCTTCATTCTTCTTTTCTTTTGATTTTGGTCTTGTTCTAATACAAGTTCTGTATCCTGCCCTGATGGAGTCAGAGAATCCTCTTCTAGGACTGTCTGAGCATCCTTTTGAGATCCTTCTGTATCTGAAATTTTAGTGTTCACACATTCATCTGGATTGTCATCCACAACTTCACTTGAAACTTTTTGCACTAAAAAGAGAAATGATTATAAATTACGAACAACCTATACAAAAATTCTTAAAGGTAAAGAAAAATACTCAAAGTTACACACTATACATATTATTTATGTGAGCAAAAAATTGAAGACAACCTAAAACAGGGAATGATTAAGTTATAATACATTCATGTCATAAAAATCTTTGCAGGTAAGGACTAGGAGAAAGATCAGTGGTGGACCATGTACTTATAACATGGGCAAAATCCTAGGTTCAATCACCAATACCATCAAAAGAAAAGAAAAGAAAAACCTAGGCACTATCAAGAATGAGACATGTAGTAATAAGATTTCAAAACATGTCTAAAATTATCAAGTGGTAGGGCCAGAGATTTAGTGGTTCCAGCGCTTGCCTCAAAAGCGCAAGGTTCCAAGTTAGATCCCCAGTAAAAAAAAAAAAAAAAAAAAAAAAAAATCGAGTGGTAGATATATGTATAAAGAGATAGATGGCTAGATACACGCAACCCCCTTTTTTTTTTGTACTGGGGATCAAACTTGCCAGGCAGGCAGCAGAACCACTGAGCTAAATCCCTGGCCCCTAACTCTGTTTTTATTATACAGTAACAATTGCACATACTCTATAACACAAACACAGGTACAGCAAAGAGTTTAGTAACAGTTATCCCTGAAATTTTAAAATTTTGCTTTGTGTTTTAATGAACAATCTTTTAAGTGAATATTTTAATACAATTTTTACTTTCCTGCCTATTAAAGTTATCTCTCTTTGCCCTTTCAACATATGATGATGCAAAAAAGCCATCAACAGATGACAAGTGCCTTAATCTTGGACTTCCCTGCACCCAGAACTGTGAAAATATTTCTTTTCTCTGTAAATTATATAAGCTCAGGCAGAGTTTCACAAAACAGAATTAAGATAACATCCAAAGCAAAAGGGAAGCTTAACTTCACAAACATGATTGATTAGAGATCCCTCAATATTCCCAATAATACAATTTAATATTATTTATGTCCAAAACAAGTGAAAATAGAATTATTTTAAAGTTAAGAAACCATTTTATTTATTACCAGGATTTCAGCCAGACATTTCTAAATTCTGAGTTATAATATGTCTTTAAAGTTCTTACACTAAAGAAAATTATAGGACTGAGGATTTAGCTCAGTGGCACTGTGCCATCCTCTCAAGTGCAAGGTCCTGAGTTTGATCCCCAGCATTAAAAAAAAAAAAAGATTATAGTGAATTACTCATGCTACTGCCTATAATGTAATAATCACAAGAATTAATTTATCTATTTGAATCTCCCTAGGCTATGTGTAGTATATAAAAAAGAAAATATTGACTGAAAGATGAAATAACTGCAGTTATCACTACTACTTTTTAAAAAATACAAGCACCACACTCTATAAATTAGAGAAAGTCTAGTCTGGATTTGTGCAAAAAAGATAATACAATATGCCTGACTGCTACCTTTTGAAAGGCTGCCCTGGAGGCTGCTCCTTAGGCCACGTTGAGGAACCTAGTTTTGAGAAAGGTGTCCAATGCTCCAACTGCTAAGGACTGCTCACTGTGCAGAGGCTGTTTGCACAGTGTGGTTCATGCTCAACTTTGGGGAGTGTGGAATTTTGCTATGTGCCAAGCAGAGGATGCTAATCCCTTTGAGCCCTGGCGAATAATCAAACATGGCAGTGGTCTTAGGGACTTCCAGCACAGGTTCTCAGTCCCAGGTCTGTGTCCTGCCTCTGCCACCACTAACACTGTAAGACTTTAGGGAAAAATGACTTAGGATCCCTGAGTCCAACTCCCAGTGACAGACAACAAATGGAAAGCAAACAGATAAAAATTAACACATCAGATTGCCTGTAGTTCTAAGATTCTTTAAATTATGTGATGATAGCTGAACATTGTCCTCACAGTTCAGAGCTCAGTTAAGAAAAAAGCCAGGCATAGTGGCATATACCTATAATCCCAGCACTCAAGAGGCTGAGGAAGGAGGATGGCCTCGAGTTTGAGACCTGCTGGGCTACATAAGTAAACTGAAGGCCAGTCTGAACTCCATAGCAAGACCTTGTCTCAAAAAACCGACTAAAATATAAGCCTAAAAATAGAAGTACCCACACATGAACAAGTTTCTACCTTGTTCTAGAAGTCAATGTTAACCTTCGGAAATGTGCTCAAACAATACAAGCTAGTAAAACTGCAAAATATGTGATTTTCATTTTTTTAAATATTCTAATTTTATACCAGATTTGTTTTACAAAAGAAAATAATAAGCAAAATTATTTATTATAATTTATATAATTGGACACACCAAAATGCTCATGCTCTTTGATCTGCTACAACATACCCAGATATTAGAATGATGTCAAACAGCAGATATTCCAATTATAAAACTGAAAAGGGAGCTGCTATTTTGGCCCGTGTAACTGGTAAAATGAAGAAACACTAATTCCCTCTAACTGAAGGCCCTGATGATCCCCCGAGCTACACATGACTCAATTCCCAAGGGACAGTATTACAAGTCTACTACTGCTAAGTAAAATCACATGCTTCCATGTAAAGTTAATACCTTTTACGGTTTTCTGAGGTTTGGAGGATTTCTTCTTTACACCCTGATTTTTAGCAGATTTTTGTTTTCTTTTCTCTTCTTCCTCAAGAACTTTCTGGAGCAAATGAGCAAAAAAATCGAAGTCAAAAGGGCGTTTTTCCTCTGTTTGAAAAAAAAAAGAAAAAGAACCTTCAAATTCCTATTTTCAAAAAAAGGAAAAGAACTTTCTAGTATTTTTAAGTTTCATGACATCAAAAAGAAATCGGCTTATTTAATAGCAGGACAAGTATACAACAGAACACTAAACAGCAATAAAAGGAAACTAGTTTAGCAGTGAAGGGATCACGGATAACAAGCAAAAAACAGGTGACGTCTCAAAAACACATCAAGTAAGAGAAACCAGACACAGGCCAGGGATTTAGCTCAGTGGCATCATGCCTGCCTCACAAACCAAGGTCCAGAGATCAGTCCCTGGTACCACCTACCCCCCAAAAAAAAGAGAAGAAAGAAAGAAACCAGCCACAAAACAGTACATACTATATGAGTGCATGAATTAAGATGTTCTACAACATGATAAATTAATCTACAGTGATTCAAAGTAAAACTGTGGTTGCCTTAAACCATGATGACTGCAAAAGAAATCAAAGGATCTTCTAAAGTGATGAAAATGTTCCATATACAGTTTGACTTGATGTTTACACAAAAATATTCTTTGTCAAAATTCAAACTACACTTTCAAGTGTATAAAAATATAAATGAGTTGTTAAAAGCAGTGAAGAGGGCTGGAGGCAAAGTACAGAAGTGCAGCACCAGCTAAGCAAGCACATATCCCTCTGGGTTCAATCCCCAGGACCAAAAGAAGGGGGTGGGGTTTGGGGCTAGTGTGTAGCCCATTGGTTGAGCACTTGCTTAGCTGGCTCGAAGCCCTCAGTTAAATCCTTAGCAGTGCAAAATAAAAGTAAAGATGACTGAGAAGTCCTCAAAATACCTATCCACTATCATAAGCACTCTGTTTCTCATAACTATTTCACTGCTCTTCAAATATTAGTAAATTAAGAAGCAAATGTAAAATATAAATCAATTTAGTGCAAAAAGGAACACTCCCACCAAATATCCGTCGACAGCATTATATGAGAAAACAATCAGTAAAAAAACAGAAGTGGATCTATCACATGAGTCAAATCCTACAATATATATATTTCACATCTAAATTATGGTGAATGTACAGAAAGATTACAAGAAGGCATCAGAAAAACAGATATATACTAAAATTAAAACAATCAGTCTCAAGAAACTCAATCAAATCTGAAGGTCCTGTTTTTCTATGGACCAGCTTTAACCTGGTAACTCTACAACAGTGAGCTAGCTAGCACTATAAGAATCCATAAACAATCTCTACATGAGTCTATTGTGACTTTTCTCAGGATTGTCTGCCATGTGTCTCCCAGTGTGTACTTTTATCTTGCTTTTTCCTCTTCTATTGGCCCAAGCTCACTCTGCAGAGCCACTTTCTCCCTCCTTCATTTTTATTTTTTCAAATAAACTCTGCACTGTCAAAACAAAAAAAATCTCTATATAAGCCAGGTATGGTGGCACATGCCTGTAAATCCAGCATTCAGGAGAAGTGAGGCAGGAAGACCACCGCTAGTGTGAGGCCAGCTTTGGCAACATAGTGAGTTTAAGGCCAGCCTGAACTACATAGCAAGACCCTGTCTCAAAGAGAAAGACAGAGAGACAGAGAAAAGGGTGGGGAGGGGAAAAAGGGAAAGAGGGGAAGGGGGGAAAAGGAGAGAGAAAATTTAAAATTTTAAGTTCTACAAACACTCAAATGGGTTTTATTTTTAATTTTTATATATAACAAAATCAGCAAAAAAATTATAAATGTATAGATGTATGAGTTATTGCCTGAATAATGTTAATAATCCTTAGCAGTGCAAAATAAAAGTAAAGATGACTGAGAAGTCCTCAAAATACCTATCCACTATCATAAGCACTCTGTTTCTCATAACTATTTCACTGCTCTTCAAATATTAGTAAATTAAGAAGCAAATGTAAAATATAAATCAATTTAGTGCAAAAAGGAACACTCCCACCAAATATCCGTCGACAGCATTATATGAGAAAACAATCAGTAAAAAAACAGAAGTGGATCTATCACATGAGTCAAATCCTACAATATATATATTTCACATCTAAATTATGGTGAATGTACAGAAAGATTACAAGAAGGCATCAGAAAAACAGATATATACTAAAATTAAAACAATCAGTCTCAAGAAACTCAATCAAATCTGAAGGTCCTGTTTTTCTATGGACCAGCTTTAACCTGGTAACTCTACAACAGTGAGCTAGCTAGCACTATAAGAATCCATAAACAATCTCTACATGAGTCTATTGTGACTTTTCTCAGGATTGTCTGCCATGTGTCTCCCAGTGTGTACTTTTATCTTGCTTTTTCCTCTTCTATTGGCCCAAGCTCACTCTGCAGAGCCACTTTCTCCCTCCTTCATTTTTATTTTTTCAAATAAACTCTGCACTGTCAAAACAAAAAAAATCTCTATATAAGCCAGGTATGGTGGCACATGCCTGTAAATCCAGCATTCAGGAGAAGTGAGGCAGGAAGACCACCGCTAGTGTGAGGCCAGCTTTGGCAACATAGTGAGTTTAAGGCCAGCCTGAACTACATAGCAAGACCCTGTCTCAAAGAGAAAGACAGAGAGACAGAGAAAAGGGTGGGGAGGGGAAAAAGGGAAAGAGGGGAAGGGGGGAAAAGGAGAGAGAAAATTTAAAATTTTAAGTTCTACAAACACTCAAATGGGTTTTATTTTTAATTTTTATATATAACAAAATCAGCAAAAAAATTATAAATGTATAGATGTATGAGTTATTGCCTGATCATAATGTTAACCCTAATGAAAAGTTTCTCCATTTACAACAGTCCAGATATTTCAGGAGCCATTCCCGAAAGTGGTTTCCCTAAAGACCCAATACAATACTAGATTTAGTGATGTAATAAAAGTATTTTCTTAAAAAAAAAAAAAGGCCAGGCGTGGTGGCATACACCTGTAATTCCAGCACATGGGAGGCTAGGCAGGAGGATCGCTGTGAGTTTGAGACCAGCCTGGGCTACATATTGAATTCCAGGGCAGTCTCAACTACAGAGTGAGACCCAATCTCAAAAAAAAATCACACTGGGCACAGAATCCTTTTATCTACCATAGTGTTTACTTATATACAATAAATTTATATACTACAAATAACAAGTTCTCCCACTGCCTGCCTCGCAAGGGCAAGGTCCTGAGTTCAATCCCTGCTACCACCAAAAAAAAAAAAAAAGGTTCTCTATATCCAGACATAGATTTTTGTCTAAAGTTAGTATTATGGGTCTAGAAGTGTGGCTCAAAAGTAAAGTGCTTGGCCAGGCATTTTGGTGCACACCTTTAATCCCAGTATTTGGGAGGCTGAAACAAGGGATTGCTGACTTTGAGGCCAGCCTGGGCTACACAGTGAGCTCAGGGACAGCCTGAACAACAAAGGGAGACCTGGCCTCAAAAAAAAAAAAGTGCTTTCCTAGTATGTGCAAGGCCTTATGTTCAATTCCCAGCACACACAAAAAAAATTAGTGTTATGGATAATTTCAATTAAGAAAGTTTACTTAATTTTAATTAACATACTTTATGGCTAAATGGACAATGGATATTTATGGTGAAATGTTGATAAGACATCCATAAAAATATTTATCTTTCAAAAAATATAGGAACTACTTTAGTAATTTGTTTTTCTTTACAGATCTCTTGATATTTTTCAGTAATTTACAAAAAGAATATTGATTTTAACAAAAAATATTAGAAGCTAGAAGTTAACTAGTATTTCTTCAATTCAGGTTTAAATTCAAATATTACCACTTCAGACAAAACTTCCTGAATGACCCAATCTAAATAATCGCCCTTTTTCCTCCTTAGAAATCAGTCACTATTTGAAATTATCATGCAGGGCTAGGGATGCGGCTCAGTGGCACAGCACCTGCCTGGCAAGTGTGGGGCAGGTGGCAGAACCACTGAGCTAAATCCCCAGCCCTGCCTGGCAAGTGTGAGGCCCTGAGTTTAATTTCCAGTACCAAAAAAGAGAAAGAAAGCAATTATCATGCTGATCAACTTCCCCCAACCATTTAGAATTAAGGCTCTAAAGGCAGGATTATTTTCTGCCCTGTTTATCATTATACACCCTCAATACCTAGCATCGGGACCAGCACACAGTACATGATCAGTGATGTTGACTGAATAACTGGTTGATTACTGGAAGGAACCATCTATAAAACTTTCTTCCAGAAATAATTCCTTGACTACAGTTCCTTCAGAATAAAGAACCACTTAGAAGTATTATCATAATCACTTCTCAGCCTTTTGGCTAAGATCAAGTGTAGAAGTATTATCATCAGTACTTTTACAACCTTTTGGATTTAGAACTCTATTTACCTGCTTCTTGATCTTTTGACTAATTCGTTGCCAATAAATTTATAGCAACTAACAAACCTGTACTGTTAAACAGAATTTCCCAGTCTTAATCGTACTATACCATTGCAAGGAAAAAACGAATCTAACTGGGCATTGTGGTGCATATCTGTGATACCAATGCTTGGGAAGCTCAGACAGGACTGCCATGAACTACATGCTAAGTTCAAGGCCAGCCTGACTACATAGCAAGACTCGGTCTCAAAACAAAACAAATCTAAAATATATACCAAAGACAAAAGAATGGTCATTTTTAAGCCCTTTTTAAATACTACAGGACTGGGGATTTAGCTTAGTGGTTCTGCCGCCTGCCTCGCAAGCACAAGGCCCTGAGTTTGATCCCCAGTACCAAAAATAAATAAATAAATAAATGCATACATACATACATACATACTACATAAAAGAGGTCTTTAATACTTACGGAATGCCTTGTCTATTCTCCACCCATTTGTTTTTTCTTCACGTTTAAATTTATTCTGTTAAACAACAACAAAAAACAAGATTTTTTAATTAGTAAATATTAAAATGGAACTCATGAGCAACAAAGTGATATATCTTTGCCAACAGTTAACTTACTTAAAGTTTTAGCTTTTTAAAAGTGAGGATGAAAGCTGGTGTGGTAGCCTTGGACACATGTTTAAAAGCTGATATGGCTTTAACATCTTCTAATGTACAGGACACCATTCATTTCCACACTTTATTTTTCTTCATAAAATACTATGTAGTGTCTCTTCATGTAGCCCACTCTGCACTGCAGGGTGTTTTTCTTTTTTTCTTTTCTGTTTTTCTTTTTTTTTTCTTACTTTATTTGGCCCAAACTCCTCTGAAGAGCCCATTTCCTCTTACCTTCAATAAATGTGAAACTGCCATTTTT